TAATACCTTATTTTTAGTCTTGTAAAGTAAGAACATAACTGGAAAAGTGAGATACTTTCTGGAGCGATGCAATGAACTGACCATTTTTCCAGCATCTTTAGCAATGGCTTCGTATATACAAGTTCCACTTAATATCTGGACTTACCTGGAATTACAATGGACCTCATCGATTATATTGATTAATTTTACAAAGTGTTAAAATTTTAAAATTAACTTCAGAATTTTTAAGTTGCAGGGTTGCCACAGTAAAGATTTCTTTTCTTAATTACTTTTCAGTTGTTTTGAAAATGAGTCAGTGCACAATTTTCCTACGTAGACAATGGCTGTAGGACAACTAAGCGACAGTCTAGACAGTAGTGTCTGGGTGCAATAAAATCTGATGCAATGACAGACGACGCAATATTTTTCAAGGCCAAACAAATTTCATCATGCACCTCGAAAATAGATTCATATTACTGTACACTATTACACATGACCTGATCCGTGGAAAAAATAGAAATCAGTTACGTCCTGTCACTCCAACGAATCTAAAACTGACTATATGGTGAAAGGAAACTAAAACGGTTGTTTCAATTAATTTACACAAGGGTGTATGTCTACTTTTTATACATTACACAAAAAACATTTGATGAGGTTAGGTACAAAGATCTATTTGGACTATAAAGAAAAATAAATCTATTTGAGAAAGGTGTTAGCAGAATCCAGAATTTATATGGTGGGAACAAACATCTAGAAAATGAACTGTATAGTCTACACCAAAAAAGAAACGGGGCATAAGACAAGGATGTGATTTTCACCGATTTATTCAAGCTCTAGAGCGAGGCTATCCTTAGTGAGTTAGAAACCCCGCAACAATTTAAGATACGCAGGTGGCACTGTGTGGATGACAGACACAAAAGGAAAAGTAGAGGAATCCCTAGACAAGGTAGTAAAGAAAACTGAGAAGAAAGGATTAAACATGAAAATTGTAAGAAGACGAAATGTATAGTGGTCATCAGGAGACAATCCCCAAAATGTGAAATTAAAATTAGAAATGTCAGCATCAAAGAAATACAGAAGTTTATATATCTGGGAAGTTTTTAAACAATGGAGGGAAAATGCAGCACCGATGCCCGAAAGCGCGCATTGGAATTTGGATTCCAAATAAAAAATAAAAAATAAAAAAAAGCGAAGCACAGTGTTAAGAAACAGGCAAATTTCGTTATGTAAATGTTAATCCTCCTATATGACAGTGAACAGTGGACAATTTCCTCACAGATGGAGAGAAGACTTATGGCAACAGATACAAAGAGGGCTGAACGGCTATGTAAATGTTAATCCTCCTATATGACAGGGAACACTGGACAATTTCCTCACTGATGTAGAGAAGACTTATGGCAACAGATACAAAGAGGGCTGAACGGCTATGTAAATGTTAATCCTCATATATGACAGTGAACAGTGGACAATTTCCTCACTGATGAAGAGAAGACTTGAAGCAACAGACGCGCGACTCTTTAGAAGGATGCAACGGATTACATAGACGATGCGTAGAAGCAACAAAGATGTGAGAAGGAAAAACGTAAACGAAAAAGACTTACTTAGAACCATAAAAATACTGCTGAAATTTCTTGAACACATAATGAAAGAAGGATTGGATAATTTGAAACTCACAAGACATGTCGAAGGCAAATGAGTTAAAAGATGTCTGTGGGTCTCTTACATGAAGAGCTGAAATGGGTGGGATTGCATTATCAAGGTTGGAAGGGATAAAAATTTATAACCGCTACAAAAGACAGGATATTTTATAGAGCAATGATAATCTATGTCCTGATTATTTAACTGGACTAAAATGACATTAGCGGAGTATTCTGTCGCCTTCATGAATTTGGTAGCAAGGATTTAGTAATTATTGCCTTTGTACACTCGTTAGCGTGTTGCTGACGTGATACATTCTCTACACCCACGTGATGAAATAGTTTGGGATCTCGAGCAAAAAGTCGATATGTTTCGGCATTGATCGATTTTCTTTTATATTTGTTCACGTGGAAACAATTTCACTCTGAACCTTTTTAGAGCTTCTTAATTGTAATGAGTATTTCATTAAGACGGATCAAAGTCAACAGTAAATAAATCAGTGTAATTGGTGAAAATTTATTTATTTCTCTTTTAGATCATGTTATTTAGGTCATGGCAATTATGCGTGAAAATTAATATCGCCCAAATGTCCGCCAAGGCTTCGGCGGCACACATGCACTCGAGGGTCCACATTTTTGATGATGTCTCTGCATAGTTGTTTCTTTGATCTCACCAATATGCCTTATTATCTCATCCTTCAGTTGTTGAATTGTTGGCTTGTTGGCATAGACCTTACCTTTGAGATGACCCCCCAAAGGAAGAAATCTAAAGGCATCAAGTCGCACGATCGTGGTGGCCAATTGACTTCGCTGTTTCGAGAGATGATGCGATCTAGGAAATTCTCATTGCATTTCTGTTTGAACGTCCATTTTTGTAATAGGCTTCGATGAGTTTAACACGTTGTTTGATTGTTAATTTTTCCATGCTTGAAATTGACAAAGATTTCAGTTGTTAAATCTGAAAGAAAAAGAAAAAAATCATTATACGCTTAAAGTTAATTCACATTTAAAATCGGTCCAAGTTATTGGAACAATAAAGAAATGGATAAACTTTAAAGAGACTTCTAAGATTTCCCTAATGCTGTACATAAAGTAATGCTGAGAACATTTGCAACGTCCAAATATATAAGCTAAAAATGAAAAACAATGATAAATACAAAGAAGAATACATTGTTATATTTATGAGGGTGTGTTGAAAGCTTCCCTTCACGACCATAGGAACCCCCAACCAACACACCAACAATATTTGGACATCTGTCTATACTTCTGAGATGAGGTATTATGTACATTATTTACATTATTCGGACTATTGTCTTGATCTTTGTCGCCTTATTTATTACAAGGACACATGACACAGTGGATAAAGGTGTTGGTTTGATCCAGTGACAGGACCCAAAGAGTATGAGTTCAATACCCGGTTAAGGCAGTGGAGAACTTTCAGAGGGAAATTAGCAGGAGATAACTTAAATCCATTAAAACATGGCACGTGGAACTAGAACAGTTTACCCCAGTGAGCGAAATAAAAGGTTCAGTTTGACATTCCAACCACCTGAAAAAGGCCGGAGCGTACAACGGCCGAAACGTTGTAATAAATATGGCGACTAAGATGAGGACAATAGTCCGAATAATGTAAATATTTGGAAATTTGATCAGAATTTGCGATGGAGATCAGTCAAGGGTAGAAATTTTCAGCTACACACTTGGACATTATTCCTAATTTATTTAATTTTATATGTATGTTTTGTTCGTAAATTTGTGTGTGCGTATGGTGGGGGCATTATGATTAAAGAGCAATCCCATGTATACTACCGTCACAGCAGTATAGGTGTGTCTATGGAAAGATAGCCTGACGGAGGCCATCCATCTTCAGATTGGTTTTGAATTCAATGTTTTCTTTCTCTTGGACTGGTTGCTACCTTTCAAAGCAAGAGAGCTCAGTCAACTTTACTATTTAACACATAGTATTGGACATAAGCAACAAAATGCAGGACTAAATAAAGGTTTTGATATATAAATACAAAACAATTTTGCAAAATTAAGTAAATATGGCCGTCATTTTTTGACGGCTTGTGTAAACAGATTATTAAATGATTCCCTTTTAGTTTGACACAAGATCAGAGTCTAGGAGTGACCAATGAGTATCGAACTCATTAAATAGCCGATGAGCCTACTCCATAGGGAAATTTCTATTTAATGAGTATCGAACTCATTAAATAGCCGATGAGCCTACTCCATAGGGAAATTTCTATTTAATGAGTATCGAACTCATTAAATAGCCGATGAGCCTACTCCATAGGGAAATTTCTACTCTTATTTATTCATTATATGGTTTTGAAAGCTTTGTTACACTTGAACGTATATCGCTAAGATTATCTCATATTTAGTAAGTTTAGCTTTGTTTGGCACAAGGCCACAAACATCGAGTGCCTATTGCGGTTTCAACTCATTACAATAGTAATGGAATGTGTGACCAGCTTGTAAGTATTTCTCCACGGTGAGCATGATATTTATTAAATGTTCCCGTATAGCCTGGGTGGGGGATTACCCCTAGAAGGCATAGCAATCAGCGGTATAAAAAAAAGGATTCACTTTCTTTTCTTCCTTTTGTTCCCGGATATAGTAGCGATATCAACAGGACTTTTCTCTTGCGGCAGCACAATCCCCGAGCAGCAGAATGTATGGTGGCCCAGTACAAACTATGGAAACTGAGAATTGCTGGATTCGGGTAAATATTCAGTTATCTTTGTATAGTGAGTAGCCATGGTCAAATGCAGAATAAGTAATAGAACTGTTCAACAAATAGAATTGACAAAGTTTGCAATAAAGAATAAAAGAAAAAGAAAATAAAAAGAACAAGAGAAAAAGAAATGATATAAAGCAAGCAAACAATATATTCAAGGCAAATTAACTGTAAGAAGGCAAAGCAACAGTAACATGGCAAAAATGTTTATAAACTAAGAATTGTAGTCAACACACAAGTTTTGAATTGAAGACAAGAGAGACCGGGACAGGGTCAGTTGAAACTGAGAACTGGCCTATTTAATTGGCTAGAAATAAATCCCAGCATGCATTTGTGTGCTTCTGCCTATAGATTTAGGAGGAGAAATGTACGTTCCGGCCTACTTCAGTATCTGTCTATATTTATGAGGTGAGGTATTATGTAAATAGTGTACATAATACCTCATCTCATAAATATAGACAGATACTGAAGAAGGCCGGAATATTGTAATAAATATGGCGTTGTACGTTTCAAGGGTTATTTGCTATTTCTATTTTGCACAAGGCCACAATTTGGAATTCACAATGATTACTGAACTGGAAGGAAAAATAACAAATACACAACAGTATTCGTGTTTATGAATCTTATTATTGCAACTTATGCAGGTATAAAATTTTCCCGTTGGTACGGTCCATTTCTATCTGTCTGTCTATCTGTCGTCCTGTCTATCTATCTATCTATCTATCTATCTATCTATCTATCTATCTATCTATCTCAATCTGTTCATATCTATCTATCTATCTATCTATCTATCTATCTATCTATCTATGTCTGTTTGCTCATTATCTATTTCTCTTTCTTCTTGGTCTGATCATATCCATATATTAACAGAGCGTCAATCAGTCCTTTTAATTTGTTTGTACAACGAGTTGTTTTCCTATTCACTTAAGCAATTGAAACTCGAAACGCCGGTGGCGGAGTCCATTATTTCGTTCTCACTTTCTCTTTTCCCTCTCTCTATTTCTCTCTCTCCCCATCAGCGAGACTGGCAGATAGGCCACCCTCTTACTTTTTCACTGTATGTTGTTTCCATCGATTAATTCAATTTTTGATCCACGCTGAGAAAAAACAAAAACAAAAACAAAACAAACGCTTCACTAACTCGTCATTGTAAATGTGCCCTACACGCATGCGTAGGAAATGTGTGTTTTGTTTTTCCTTTTTCATTCTTACTCTTCCACCTTCCTCCTGATCAGCAATAACATCACACTTCATATCAATTTGTCAACCTAGAAGTAAAGGAATCAAAATTTGGGACGGAGATTTTATTGTTCTCATTTCAACAGCAGCTCTCCACGGGGAGCATTTTAGTATTTGTATTTTTACAATGTGAGTGTTATCAGGCTTTGTATGAAGGAGAGTTAGCTAAAGGAAAGATAAAGCGGAGAATTAGATAGATAGATAGATAGATAGATAGATAGATAGATAGATAGATAGAGAGAAAGAAACAGACTTACATATATATATATATATATATATATATATATATATATATATATATATATATATATAGGTGTCCATAAAGTTCGTGTGCACTTTAAAAAATTTATAACTTTATTTGTATTTGCGATAGAAATAATGTGTAAAAAGGATTAGAAAGAAGTAAATCTCTATTTTTTAAGGTTTTATTGAAATTTTATTTAAGTTTCCACTTTGTCTTCTATCATACAAAGGGTAAAACGATTTTGCAGTTCACGGAAAACATTTGCCAACTGATTTACAGTAATGCCTGAAATCACATTAGTTATTTTAGCTATACTTAAAACTAGGTACATTAAACTTTAACATTTTTTTTACAGATTATTTCTATCACGAATACAAATAAAGTTATAAATTGTTTAAAGTGCGCACGAACTCTATGGACACCCTGTATATAAGTGTGTATTTAGGAAGCACTTTTTCATTGATGCATGTTTCATTAAATAATATAGACTAGTTTTGTCTATTTATTTTATGTAAATTCTTTTCATATCGTCTGATAAGCTTATCATTAAAAGAAGAAAGAAAATATTGATAGATATTTTTTAATCCTACCTAAGCTTTCGGCTTACATAAACCGTTATCAAATATGACAATTACATTACAATATATTAAACAATACACGGACAAAACAATAATGATAGCTGTTTATGTTTACATAGAAGATTTCCAAGCAACGACTAACTGGTTCATACAAGACGCTGGAAACGAAAATCGCACCACAGCTCAATAATATGAAACATGCATCAATGAATCAATATATATATATATATATATATATATATATATATATATATATGTGTGTGTGGGGGGTGGATCCATTCGTCGCGAATGACAAATGAGGGCTCAGTAAAATAAAGAGGTGTTCAACTTTTATGGACACACATGTGTTTCCCAAGGCTTGCAAGTGTTTTGCAAAGTTTTAAACAGATGGAACATGTGGTTGAGCCATTTTGCTTGAGTGGTTGAGGATCAATTGATACATATTTCCCTTACATATATAAACAGGTTGAGATAGATAGGCAAATAAGCATGAAGCAGACTGTCGCCGTTGGGTGTTGACCTCAACTTTCATATTTACAGACGCTCTGTCCCTGATATCGAGCACTTTAACTCATATTTTTTCATTTTTATACATTTCATTCATTTCATTTATTTCATTTTATTCATACATTAAGTTAAAAGTAAAAATAAAATCATCCTTGAATATATATATATATATATATATATATATATATATATATATTACAAGCAAAAATATACAAAATTACCGCATGTGGATATAGCCTACTAGCAGTAGAGCCCGGCATTACCCGGGGATGTAACAGTAAGAGATAGATCAAGTATCGACCATCATAAAGACTGAAAAATAAAATTGACAAAGATTATTGTTTAAGGTTGACGGACACGCATGTCTTAATTAGTTTTTTTTTTTTTTTTTTAGTTTTTTTTATGAATTGGTCAAACCCAAACTCAAACAAAAACATTGTTTTCAATCGTTATGAGTCTACCGATTGAATAGAATTTTATTATAAACAATTGACTTGTAAATGGAATTTTTAAAGCATTCTGAATGTAGAAATAAAGAAAAAAGTGTGCAAGATAATAAGAAACACTACCTGCCAAAAAAAAAAAAGTGAAGTTTTGTTGAAATCGGTTGAAAAATGTAGGAAATCCGATCACGTATATAAACGTACACATAACCTGGGTTTTATAATAAAGTATAACTCGATATGAGTTGTCCCCCTTTCATTTTTGGTGCTGTCAGAACCACCGTAGGGTAATTTTACGTAGTCCTGTGATGTTTTGTTGAAATCAGTTGATAATGTAGGAAATCCGATCCAATATATAAACGTACACAGACACACACACACACACACACACACGCGCACACACACACACAATCTGCGTTTTATAATAAGTAAGATTTTAGCCGGCGCAACCTTGCACCCGGCTTCTTCAACCCTGGACTGGACTTGTCATGGAATCAGGGATTTAGAATTTAGTTTAGATAGCAGTCGGGGAAAAGAAACCGAGCCTACCCAAAATGACGCCTCAGCTAGCTAAAAAGGTGGTGAGGGTAAGGCGGGAACTATCTCCCTAAAAATAGAGAAGAGGCCCGATGATAGTTGGGGTTCACTGTTGATATATATATATATATATATATATATAGTCATCCATAGACAGTGTGGCTAGACGTCCGATTGCTTCAAGCCGGGATCGAAACCCGACTGATTTGACATCAGTCAAATCTTACCTCTAGGAAGGAAGTGAATTTTAACGTTTTTCTCTATACGATATACGCCAGCGGCTCATAAAACTCAATTCAATTTTACTTGAAGAGCAATGCTTAATTTTTATATATATATATATATATATATATATATATATATATATATATATATATATATATATATATATATATATATATATATATATATATATATATATATATATATATGCAGATTGAGATAGATAAATATAAACAGATAGAAAACAGATAAATAGATAGATAGCTCGTTTGCTAGATAGAATGATAATGAAGACTGAGATAGATAGATAGATAGAGAGAGAGAGAGAGAGAGAGAGAGAGAGAGACACAGAGAGAGTGAGAGTGAAAGAGAAACTGGAGAAATGTGATTGCTTTAAGTGTTGATTGGATATAAAAAAAAGCCATGTGAGAAAAAGAGAAAAAAATGTGGCTGATATTCGTGGCTGATGGGAAGCTGATCCTTATAAAACACTCACCTTGTGGTTTCCAAGGCTCTGAATCATCCACTTCAGTTTTATATGACCACTGTGTTCTCTAACGCTATAAAAACACCTCATTTAAACTAATAATTTCTATGTCCGCTAACTAAACCAGAAAACAGCCATTGTTCGTTCATTGTGTATGGTCCACAAGGAGGGAGGGGTAGGGGAAGAGAGATAGAGAGGGAGAGAGAGATAATTAAAGAGAAAGAAAGAGAGAAGGCAAGAGATAGTGAATCAGCAAAAAAAAAAGAAAAGAAAGAATTCATTGTTTTTTACGGTTTATCAACCCTTTGTGAATTATCTAAAGCCGAAACATATTTTGGATTGTAAGAATATTCTTTTGAGTGAATATCGCATTAACATTTTTTTTCAGCAACAAGTCATACTATTTAACCCATAGCTGGTGGAGGAGATAGATTTTTACCTTTCTCAGGGCTATTTGAGTGCAAGTGAATGTAAAGAACTCGAATGGAATTGGAAATCGGCTCTTAGATTTTTCATTTCAAGACGCTATCCATTTCATCACCCGCATATTGAATAAAGGAAGGAAGTAAGGAATGGAGGAAGGAAGGGAGGAAGCAACAGAGGAAGGAAGGAAGCCATGAAGGGAGGAAGGGAGGGAGGGAGTAAGGAAGAAGAGTGGAAGGATGGGAGGAAGAAAGGAAGGAGGGGAGGAAAGAAAGAAGTAAGTAAGGAAGGAAGATAGAAGGAAGGGAGGAAGCAACGGAGGAAGCAAGGAAGGAGGGGAGGGGAGGAAGGAGAGAAAGAAGGAAGGAAGGAAGAAAGAAGGAAGGAAAGAAAGAAGCAAGGAAGGAAGGAAGGAGGGGAGGAAAGAAGTAAGTAAGGAAGGAAGATAGAAGGAAGGGAGGAAGCAAAGAAAGAAGCAAGCAAGGAAAGAAGGAAGGGAGGAAGAGAAGAGGGAAGGAAGAAATGACATGACGCTTTTTAGGTTTGTTTTCTTCATGGAAGTGAATCAACCTATTTTTATGGTCATTTCTTAATGCTCATTCGTTGTTCACACCTGCAAAGTATAAATTTTGTTTGTAGGTTTTACGCAGAATTTATCTAAATACACACACACACACACACACACACACACACACACACACACACACACACATATATATATATATGTGTCATCCACATACAGTTTATATATGTATGTCATCCATAGACAGTTTCGCTGTTTCACAGCTCATCAGTGTGGCTTGATTGACTCAAGCCGGGATCGAAACCTGACTGATTTAGTATCAGTCGGAGACTCTATTCCTAAGCCATTGGGATGAAGGTGAATTTAGACGTATTTATTTTTAGACAAACACACCAGTGACTGGGAGAACTCGATTCGTCTTAACGAAAAGTCTTGCATCAGCAGCAGTAATACTCACTGTTTACAAATTCATTTTCTCCCCGAGAGCTCAACCGAAATAATTTTTTCAAAACCATGTATATATATATATATATATATATTTAGATGCCATGCCAGGTTTAGATTTAGAAAAAAATGAGATTTTCTTATTCATGACCGACTTAATAACATCCAAAAGGTACCCATTATTAGCTAGAGTTTTAGTAATTGTTTTAGCTCTTCATCTAATTTAGATTCTGAGCAGATCATAAAAAGCTCTATGTGTAAGGGTACTAATTAGATTTTCTTTGCGTTTGTTGGGAAGAATGCATCCCATCGAATGTATATTCCGGTAAAGGTTGGTTTACGATAGATTGATGTAATGTAACAGGATGGTGTTTTAGTTACCAAAGTATCCAAAGAAGATATAGTGGAATTAGTTTCAATTTCCATAAAATACCTTAATGCTGGATGCATACAATTAAGTAATGAAAAAAAATTTTGCCTCCGTTATATTTTCAAAGTGGCAAAATGTGTCATCAACATAGCGATGATACATTAGTGGTTTGACAGTTTCAGAAAATAAACGATTTTTTAGAAACCAACAAAATATTCATAAAAGTAGGCCCTAAGTTGAACCCATTGAAACCCCGTTGATCTGTCTGTACATTGTGTTATTGAAACTGAATTCAACAGACGTCACAGCAAATTTTAGCAACTCAACAAAAATGTTTTCCGGAATGGCAGATGGATATATCCGGCTACGATATAGCAAATCTTGTACAGGTATCTAGTGCTTCTAAAATAGAGACACGGGTAAGGGTAAGTTGTTGATATCGAACGAATACGGCTTTATTAGTCGAATTACACTTTTGAATATCTCTTGCAAAAGAAAAAGAATCTTTTATGCAATGACAACTGTAATATTCTAATACAGATTGTAATGGTGTGTCAATCCATTTGACAACCTTCTGTTGAGTTGGCCCCACCATAGATAGAATTGGTTTTAGTGGGCACCTGCCTTATACGTTTTATATAAACCGTATAAACGGAAACGAATGAAACCCGAAGGACTAATTTCGCTAGCTATGTCAGAAGGTAGAACACCACTTTTTACTCATTTGACTAATTTTCCCTGAAATCTGTGTTCTAATGTCACTGTTGAATCAAATCTGTCCATAGGACTTAACTTGATAAATTTTGATGAATCATTTTATCAACGTAATCACATTGATTATTGGCATAACATCATTAAATCTAGCCTATTGTATTTCAATAATGATCTTGACCATCATAAAGACTGAAAAATAAAAAATATATATATATATATATATAAAAATTAAGCATTGCTCTTCAAGTAAAATTGAATTGAGTTTTATGAGCCGCTGGCGTATATCGTATAGAAAAACGTTAAAATTCACTTCCTTCCTAGAGGTAAGATTTGACTGATGTCAAATCAGTCGGGTTTCGATCGGCTTGAAGCAATCGGACGTCTAGCCACACTGTCTATGGATGACTATATATATATATATATATATATATATATATATGGATGACTATATATATATATATATATATATATATATATATCAACAGTGAACCCCAACTATCATCGGGCCTCTTCTCTATTTTTAGGGAGATAGTTCCCGCCTTACCCTCACAACCAATACGGGCTTTTTAGCTAGCTGAGGCGTCATTTTGGGTAGGCTCGGTTTCTTTTCCCCCGACTGCTATCTAAACTAAATTCTAAATCCCTGATTCCATGACAAGTCCAGTCCAGGGTTGAAGAAGCCGGGTGCAAGGTTGCGCCGGCTAAAATCTTACTTATTATAAAACGCAGATTGTGTGTGTGTGTGCGTGTGTGTGTGTGTGTGTGTGTCTGTGTGTACGTTTATATATTGGATCGGATTTCCTACATTATCAACTGATTTCAACAAAACATCACAGGACCCTTTGTGAATTATCTAAAGCCGAAACATATTTTGGATTGTAAGAATATTCTTTTGAGTGAATATCGCATTAACATTTTTTTTCAGCAACAAGTCATACTATTTAACCCATAGCTGGTGGAGGAGATAGATTTTTACCTTTCTCAGGGCTATTTGAGTGCAAGTGAATGTAAAGAACTCGAATGGAATTGGAAATCGGCTCTTAGATTTTTCATTTCAAGACGCTATCCATTTCATCACCCGCATATTGAATAAAGGAAGGAAGTAAGGAATGGAGGAAGGAAGGAGAAGCAACAGAGGAAGGAAGGAAGCCATGAAGGAGGAAGGGAGGGAGGGAGTAAGGAAGAAGAGTGGAAGGATGGGAGGAAGAAAGGAAGGAGGGGAGGAAAGAAAGAAGTAAGTAAGGAAGGAAGATAGAAGGAAGGGAGGAAGCAACGGAGGAAGCAAGGAAGGAGGGGAGGGGAGGAAGGAGAGAAAGAAGGAAGGAAGGAAGAAAGAAGGAAGGAAGAAAAAAGCAAGGAAGGAAGGAAGGAGGGAGGAAAGAAGTAAGTAAGGAAGGAAGATAGAAGGAAGGGAGGAAGCAAAAGAAAGAAGCAAGCAAGGAAAGAAGGAAGGGAGGAAGAGAAGAGGAAGGAAGAAATGACATGACGCTTTTTTAGGTTTGTTTTCTTCATGGAAGTGAATCAACCTATTTTTATGGTCATTTCTTAATGCTCATTCGTTGTTCACACCTGCAAAGTATAAATTTTGTTTGTAGGTTTTACGCAGAATTTATCTAAATACACACACACACACACACACACACACACACACACACACACACACACACATACATATATATATATATGTGTCATCCCATACAGTTTATATATGTATGTCATCCATAGACAGTTTAAGCTCATCAGTGTGGCTTGATTGACTCAAGCCGGGATCGAAAAACCTGACTGATTTAGTATCAGTCGGAGACTCTATTCTAAGCCATTGGGATGAAGGTGAATTTAGACGTATTTATTTTAGACAAACACACCAGTGACTGGGAGAACTCGATTCGTCTTAACGAAAAGTCTTGCATCAGCAGCAGTAATACTCACTGTTTACAAATTCATTTTCTCCCCGAGAGCTCAACCGAAATAATTTTTTCAAAACCATGTATATATATATATATATATATATTTAGATGCCATGCCAGGTTTAGATTTAGAAAAAAAATGAGATTTTCTTATTCATGACCGACTTAATAACATCCAAAAGGTACCCATTATTAGCTAGAGTTTTAGTAATTGTTTTTAGCTCTTCATCTAATTTAGATTCTGAGCAGATCATAAAAGCTCTATGTGTAAGGGTACTAATTAGATTTTCTTTGCGTTTGTTAGGGAAGAATGCATCCCATCGAATGTATATTCCGGTAAAGGTTGGTTTACGATAGATTGATGTAATGTAACAGGATGGTGTTTTAGTTACCAAAGTATCCAAAGAAGATATAGTGGAATTAGTTTCAATTTCCATAAAATACCTTAATGCCGGATGCATACAATTAAGTAATGAAAAGAAAACTTTTTGCATCCGTTATATTTTCAAAGAGGCAAAATATGTCATCAACATAGCGATGATACATTAGTGGTTTGACAGTTTCAGAAAATAAACGATTTTTATAGAAACCAACAAAAATATTCGCCAAAGTAGGCCCTAGGATTGAACCCATTGAAACCCCGTTGATCTGTCTGTACATTGTGTTATTGAAACTGAATTCAACAGACGTCACAGCAAATTTTAGCAACTCAACAAAAATGTTTTCCGGAATGGCAGATGGAGATATCCGGCTACGATATAGCAAATCTTGTACAGGTATCTAGTGCTTCTAAAATAGAGACACGGGTAAGGGTAAGTTGTTGATATCGAACGAATACGGCTTTATTAGTCGAATTACACTTTTGAATATCTCTTGCAAAAGAAAAAGAATCTTTTATGCAATGACAACTGTAATATTCTAATACAGATTGTAATGGTGTGTCAATCCATTTGACAACCTTCTGTTGAGTTGGCCCCACCATAGATAGAATTGGTTTTTAGTGGGCACCTGCCTTATACGTTTTATATAAACCGTATAAACGGAAACGAATGAAACCGAAGGACTAATTTCGCTAGCTATGTCAGAAGGTAGAACACCACTTTTTACTCATTTGACTAATTTTCCTGAAATCTGTGTTCTAATGTCACTGTTGAATCAAATCTGTCCATAGGACTTAACTTGATAAATTTTGATGAATCATTTTATCAACGTAATCACATTGATTATTGGCATAACATCATTAAATCTAGCCTATTGTATTTCAATAATGATCTTGACCATTGTTATGCCAGAACACCTATTTCAGACTTTGAATTCAAATAGAATAAATCATTAATAATCACTAGTCCTGACAAAGATTCAGGAGTTGTACTCAATAAATGTGATTACGCTGATAAAACGATGACAATCTTGAATGATTCATCAAAAGTTAAGTCCTATGGACAGATTTGATTCAACAGTGACATTAGAACACAGATTTCAGGGAAAATTAGTCAAATGAGTAAAAAGTGGTGTTCTACCTTCTGACATAGCTAGCGAAATTAGTCCTTGGGGTTTCATTCGTTTCCGTT